CAATGCTCTATCGCGGCGTTTCCAAAACTTACTGTGCACGGAAGTCATTTACTCTTGTGAAATATTCACGAAATCTAACATCAAAGGAAACTATTTGGAAATAACTTGAAATACCAACTTTTCTTTAAACGCCTCAGCAGTAATTATAAATTAATTATTAATGATACAACTTAATGATCTACTTCAGTATAAAAGCCCGCCTCAACGTTGTCAGCCATATCAGAATTTCAATCCACCTAATTTTTCCCACACAAAATAATGTTCGCTGAAATGTGAAGGCACACTTCTCTGGTGTCCCTCAACGCTAAGTTTCACATTCGTAACCATAAGAGTTCAATAGCTGCTGCCACTAAATATATATTTTTCATTCATTCTTTCATCAATGGCTCTACAGCCGTTTATTGGGCCCTGGTCTCTTCTTCAGTTTCGTAGTCTTTTTTACACAGACGGTAGGACTCCTTGGAAAAGTGATCAGCCCGTAGCAAGGCCGCTACCTACACACAGGACAACACAAACACAGAATAAACGCATACACAGACATCAATGCCTTGAGTGGGATTCGAACCCACAATCTCAGCGTTCCAGCGAGAGGAGGCAGTTCATGCCTTAGAGCGTGTGGCCACCTGATCGGCAAATAGATCTTTTGCCACACAAAATTTTAGGAAAACAATTCGTATACTCACCATACTGATATTATTTATGGTAGTGAAGACGAAGGTGGTACTTGATTTCAAAAACCAGTGTCATGAAAGTCCACTGATTTATTCGAAGTTATTGGGATGAGAGTTAACAGCAGTGGGGATCCGTTGCGCTGACCACGTAACACCATCTACCTGCAAAAGTTGGCACTAACTTCGCTGACAAGCGGCGGTCGCTCGGTCGGTATAGTTCGCTTGCGCACTACAGGCCACGGAGTTTTTTTTTTCTTTTTATTGGGATGAGGGTAATACACATACACGCATACTCCTAGACCTAGGTCTTTCTTTCCTTGCAACGAAAAACGGGCAGAACTGTCGTCGCTAGAGAATTTTTGTACGGTGCACTTATGTACAACATACGTATTTTAATGTGTGTTATACCTTAAGCAGGCAACCTTACGGAACACTGTGTTACCGACAGGATCGCTGGTATAGGGATTCTGGTTCCCGTCGTACACTAGTAACTGTCTAATGATTACGTAATGATGCACGCCATAATTTCATAACGACGTATCCCCAGAGATGTTTTAGACACAAAATACAAACATTAGCGGTCATCTTCGGGAGTGACTGAGCACATATACAGGCTTGAAATATCATAACCGATAATTAAAGGACAATAAGGCATTACAAACCTTACGATTTATCTCGGAATTACTGGATTTTTAGACTTCGTCCATCGTCCAGTATTCTAGAAATTACAAAAAAAGACGTTTCGGAGACTGGATTTTTCCGTTCCCAGGTGAGTGGGGAAGACACCTACTCTGTTGGGTCCCTTGTCCAGTGATTGAGGTTAGCTGCTTCTAAGGGGGCCAACAGAGTAGGTGTCTTCCCCACTCACCTGAGGACGGAAACAGATCACATTTTGTTTTTCTGGTTTCTAGAATACCGGACCATGGATCAAATCCAAAACCCAGCAATTCTCAGTGCTATACACCATCGTCAGAGACATTTAGAATCTACTTACGATTTCTAATTCGAATATAAATTGACGTTTTCTGATAACACAATACAGTGTCACTTCGTACAGAAATGAGTACACGAAAAAAATGCAGTTAGCAAACCGCTGACGAAGTTTCGGCCAGAAAATCTTGAGGATGGCTTGAGGGCAATCGTGCCAAGGTCCTGGAATGTTACCGGTGCTGTCATGTGATAACTTAGTTAAGAGCCAGGTCATGAATGTAGCAAACAAACTACTTCCTTATCATAGTGCTGATAACGTGATACCAATTAACAGACTCTTCACACGTTTTCAAGCAATAAAGAGAGCACAAAACTGAACAAGTGTACCGAAAACCCGACGTTTTCTTACACAGCACGGAGTCACAGCCCTAAACTACGTAGCAAGTGCAACATTTCATGTTGTGTAGAAGCGTTTTTGTGACCGCCTCTGTGGTCTAGTGGTCAGATTTCCTGGCTACAGATCTTGAGGTCCCGGGTTCGATTCCCGGCGCTACAAGGTTTTCTGAGAAGTAGTGGGCCTGGAACGGGGTTCACTCAGCCTCGTGACGATAACTCAAGAGCTATTTCAAGGAAAGAGCGGCTCCGGTTTAGAAAACCGAAATTAACGGCTGTGGGAATCCGTTGCGCTGACCACGTGATACCATCTACCCGCTAAAGTTGCCACTAACTTCGCCGACAAGCAGTGGTCGCTCGGTCGTATAGTTCGCTTGCGGACTAAAACCACGGAATTTGTTTTTTGTTTGTTTGTACAAAGATTCTGTGAGGCAGATATATATATATATATATATATTTGTAATTTGATGTTTCATCTTGGCTTAATTTCAGGGAAACGTTACGGTTGCGAGATGAAAAGTCAAATACATGAAATTAAGATGTCGGAGTCCCGTACCAAAGTTTTTTTTATTGTTACTTAATCAGCAATCAGAATTATCATATTCTATAAGCTATTGTGGTGACACTGGGCTACTGAGCCCGCCTATGGCAGGATGAGGGTCCTTCAACCGAAGGAGCCTCCGTTATTCACGAGGTCGATTGGAAGACGTCTACGTACCAAAGTCCTTCACAGTCCATTTTGTTTCAAATATCTAGACGGACACATATGGCTTCTCCATTGTGTGTTCATTTTATGCGCTTCGTACATACAGCTGTTAAAATGTTTGGACTGCATGGGCTAACGGAAAGTACTGCTGCTACTGTGTTAATACTTTAACGCAACTGACAGATTTACTGCTTAACAAGAGAACACAGCTTAAAGAAAAAGGCCAACTATTGCATGCATAAAGTCTACAGACGACGAAGGCTTAAGCTATGAAATGTGCATAAGCAAAGGATAAAAAAATACTAGAAGTTTTGCGAGTTCAACTTGTTACCTAACAGAAAACGGAGCAAGAGTTGGAAGCCGCTGATCTCCACAATCTCCAACCCTGCCAATTTTTTTTATTGTTAAAGATTACCAGACAGAGCCATGTTTGGATGAGAGTACGGGGTTAACTCAACCATCCCCTTGAGTGATGTTTGGAGACATGAAAAAACATGCTTTTACTGAAATAAAAATGCAAAGAAAAGTTCTAAATCGTTATACGATTATTATGTAGTGTACTGTCCATTGTCTGGTGTACATTTTATGTATATGATGTTTCGGGAATTGGCACTTCTAGCGTTTTCAATTGACTTTCGTTCTACTTACACATTTTTACAACTTTTTCACTGCTCTGGCATCAGGAGTTCGCACCCGGAACCTTCAGAACACAGTAGCACCTCGGATCAACGACTTTCCTACTTACAAATTTTCGAGCTTAGATCCCATAAGCCCTTCTCTAAATTTTATATTCACAAGCCCTGAATAACCCGAGATACGATCACATTTCTTTTCGACTAATCGGCAAAAACGATAAATACAGAATCAATCTATTAAAAAGTCAGTGAATTATTTAACGGCCGGTAACCATCATGATAAGAAAATTATGGCCTGACATAATAACCACGACACTGATGATAAGGTAAATTTGTCCCCGTGCTTAACTAATTCAGCACTACGGCATGAAGGCGTATGGGGGAGCGGATGTATAGATCCATATTTTCTTGAACTTGACACCAGCTGGAAGTGAGTGGTCAGCTTCATGCCCCGGCCGCTTTACCTCGGGGGAAAGAGCACCTGGTACCCATTTCATAGGAGGCTGGGTCCACGGCCAGTCTGGACATGGAGAAGTGAAAATTCTATCTCCCACCGGGATTCGAACTCCGACCCCTTGGTCGTCCAATCCAAAGCCAGTCCCTATACCGACTACTCTATCCCGGGTTAATCCGTAATAATAACAATAATAGTAATAAAGTGTAAAAAAGATAAAGTTGTTCCTGTGCTTAACTAATTAAGCGCTACGCCATGAAGGAGTATGGGGGAGTGGATGTATAGACCCAAGTTTTCTTGACCTTGGCACTAGTTGGAGGTGAGTGGTCAGTTTCACGCCCCGGTCGCTTTATCCCCTTAGACAGAGCCCCGATACCCACTGGACAGGATGTTGGGTGGACCCCAGAGCCGGTCTGGACGACACGGAGAAGTGAAAATTCTTGCCCCCATCGGGACTCGAACTCCGACCGCTCGGTCATAATAATAACAATCAAAGCAAATGAATAGGCCTTTTGTCTCTAGTAAGTGAATACGTGATTCAAGTCAAGGGGAATGTTGTCCAGTTCCAAAGAAGTCATTAGTGCCATTGTGTCTTTCAGGCATAAGTGAACTTAATAAAAACCAACAGACACAACTGCATTTTATTTAATTTAATAAAACAACTACATTCTAATCTGCATAACATATTGGTAACACATTTTATTAAATAAATTACAGCAAAGCTGCACAGGATTTCTTTAAGATGACTTTAGAATCTCATTGCTCAGCCGAGAAAATGAAGTCGCGAACTTTGACCTGCACTAAGCTATCATGTCATTCTCAATACAGCACATACGTGAAATGTTTGTCACGCAGTGGGGATGATGTCGCTTGAATCGCACCACAGCACGCAATAGTTTGCACAAAGTTGCGACATACGAGATGTGCTGTCAGACAAGACTGCGATCAGTGGCCAAAAAAATTCATTATATAACACTAAAATCTCGTATAGTGAAATTCTCTCTTTGTTGGCAATACAGAAATATTCCTATGCAACTGTTAGGTCACGCAGTGAAGATGTTATCTGAGCAACATTATGCAATGGTCTGCAAGGCACCGCACAGCAGAATAAAAACTGCAAATTCCACGACCCCAATATACGCCATAAATTACCAAACCAAACCACCCGTTACGGATGGCGTGTTTGAGATTGAGGTAGTGGTATCTCTCACCTGAATATCTGGCTAGGAACCTGTAGAAAGGCGATGCAAGTGTGATACACAGACATCGAACTGTCCTTGCGATCAAAGTTGCCACCGCGAGCCCACAAGGAGGGCCCCAAGGTTCCGAATATGCGGGGGCCCAAAATTCCCCCTCCAAACTTTCGTCCATCACACGATTTTTATACAAATATATAGATGGGCACTTATGCTATAAAAAATATATCACTACTCTGAGTTCACTGTTACCGCGTTTACTCAAATGGTTCTTTGATATCCGCCGAAAAGTTTAACTAAGCGGCACATCCTTGAACAAGTAAAATATGGAGCCCTGGGAAGGCTCCGCACTGCACAAATGCACTTTCAACACCTCTCCGTTCTCCCAAATAAACACTTCCTGAAGTACAGCTCTAGATGATGATCCCAGACACGATGCCGACATGGTCCAGACATGATTTCACTTCAGCATTGTCAGTTACATGGACGACAAACACCAACAACCTCTCACTATTGCTCTCGAAGAGCATCTGCCGTCGACGTACCTAATGCCGCACTGAGAACTACTCCCACCACAACACAGCCGAATACGCACGAAATTAACCGAACATCACCGAGCAAGACATTTAAAGGTGTTCCAAGATCATTCCTTCCAAACTTACCATCCTCTTTATTCACCCTGTCTCGTATGCAACTATATACGTATACCTAGCCACTTCCGTACGGTTGGGGAGAAAAAAATGTTTTTTATTATTCATTCTTAACGTGCGTCATCATAAGAAGCGGAAGTGACAGGAAATGACGGAGGATGATTGGAATACCAGCAACAAGGCGACAGCAGTTACGAAATTCGTGCTTCATGCAGATATCGAACATAAATCCTCTCAGCTACTATTTTAAATACTACATTATAATACAAATTAATCTGTTTCCAAAGTTGCCATATCATGTTAAGGCCGATCACAGTGGCTGCGCGGTCTAAGGCATATACTGTCTTCGCTCGCTTGAACGCTGAGATCGTGGGTTCGAATCCCACTCAAGGCATGGATGTCTGTGTGCGTCTATTCTGTATTTGTGTAGTTCTGCGTGTACGTAGCGAACTTGCGACGGGCTGATCCTCCGCCCAAGGAGTCCTACCGAATGTGTATAGGATTAAGAAATTGAAAAAGTGACGAAAGTCCAACAAAGGGCTGTAGAGCCATAGACAGACAGACAGAAAGAAAGATAGATAGATAGACAGAAAAATAGATAACCTGTTAAAAATTGACAAGACAAATATGGAACCCAGTTTTGTACAAGTACATGCGTAATTAGCAGGTGGTCTAAAAGTACACCTTTTGCAAGAGTACTATGGAATTACGGTTTTCACTCTGCAGACAAGACAGGAGATGATAAGGAACTGGTTCAGGGTAATACCGGATACTTACTCCGTGGTGTAACACCTTTCTTAGTTACTCAACCGGCAAGAAAATTCCCCGTTTTATGGAATCTGAGGGTTTGTTACTGCATTCAGAAATGCCCAACACTGAATCATATCCTCAACCAGCTAAATCCAGTCCGCACATCCATTATTTCCCCAAAATTCATGTTAACTGTATTCACCTATCTAAGCATATACAGTAAAACTTGGTTATAGCAACATCGCTTTCTGCGACACCTTGTCTATTGCGTCAATATTCAATGGTACGAACTAATTCCTCATAAAGCAACTGTTTTATACCTTGCTTAGTACGACATGCACAAATGCATCAACCTCGTATGTAACGTCATTTTCATTCCTGAATTTCTCTGATATGGACATTGAACGTAATTTAGAAAGTGTGTATTGGGCAAGTAACAGGAAACAGATGAAGATAACTGATTACTGTACTCGTATCTAGGTACAGTAAGGCACAACACTTGATGTAATCTACTGTAATTTGGTGAGTAGGCCTACCTTTAATATACAGTATTAGTGCGGTGTGTATTGTCAGTGAAAAGCGCTGTAATATGTCTTTGATATTACACATTTGGGCAATTCCACGTTAATGTTACGTTAGTCTGTACTTAACTATGTATTTCACTAAAAAATGCAACATTTTAACTCGGTTTTTGGTAGATTTTTACGTGACTAACATAAGGCTACTGTGGAAGTGCCCATTTCGGTTACAACGACATTCGTTTATAACGACACTATTTTTAGGTCCCTTTGATGGCGTTATAACCAAGTTCTACTGTATCTTCCAAGGAGTTCTTCTATTACGGTACTCCGACAAAAATCATATATGCATAGAAAAGGTACATACAATATTAGAAGAAAATCGTATGGCCTAGAAAATGTATTAATGCAGAATGGAAAATAAATATATATTAAAAATGAACAGCAAAGAAAATTATCAGTAATAGTCATTTTCGCACGTCTTGTTAGTAAATGCTAGTATGGACTTATCGCCGCACAGAGTTAATGACTGGTTTTTGTTCTTATCTCCTACACTGTACATTGAGCTTTTCGTTGGTCAGATATGCGTACACTTAACGAAGTCAATCCATAACGCTCATGGCCGCTAAACTATGGGTCTCTTAAAATATGCAAAACATATGAAACACAGAATATTATAAAAATGGAGTCGGTATAGCTCAGTTGGTATTGCGACAGGTTACGGTTGGACGGCCGGGTTTCAATTCTCGGAAGGGGCAAGATTTTCTTTTCCGCAGCGTCCAGACCGGCTATGGGACCCACCCAGCCTCCTATCCAATAGGTACCGGGGGAAAAAACGGCAGTGACGTGAAGCTGACAACTTACTTCCATCCAGTGCCGAGGTCAAGAATGGCGGAGCTATACCTCCACTCCCCTACTTCTTCATGACATTGTGCTTAATTAATTAAGCACGGTGACAACTTTACCTCACCTTAAAAAACTAAACTGTGTCGTTTTGGTCCGCAAGCGAACTATACCGACTGAGCGACCGCCGCTTGTCGGCGAAGTTATTGCCAATTTTAGCGGATAGAGGGTGTCGCGTGGTCACCGCAACGGATCCCCACAGCCATTAATCTCGGATTTCTAGACCGGAGCCGCTATTTCCCTGAAATAGCTCCTCAATTATTCTCACGAGGCTGAATGGACCCCGTTGCAGACCCACTACTTCTCAGGAAATTTGGTAGCGCAGGAAATCGAACCCGGGACTTCTGAATCTGTAACCAGGAACTCAGACCACTAGATCACAGAGGCGGTCTTTTACCTTACCTTACATTAAAAAAAAGTCATGCCAAACATTTTTAGAGACGACGGACTGACATAATGTTTCGGCATTTCATACAGACAACCGCATTCAGGCAGTACCTGGTGTACCGAATAAATAATTTCTTTACGAGCGGCAAAACGACACTGATATCACATTTTCGCCTATGTCATGAATATTACGGGTGTCGTGAATTTATTTCCAGCGTGCATAACAATTCTCATAAGTTTGCAATAACTGTGATTTACGTATGTAGCGAATGTGAAGGTACAGTGTCAACTAGTAACTGCATACGTTTGTCTCTTCCTCTAGCACCGCGCCGCGGGGCGCTTCCTCGCCTGACATTGTGCAAGGTCAGTCAATACTATCGGACATGACAGCGAAATGTGGTGACCTAGTCTGAGGGAAAGAAAAAGGTAAAATTATCCCTGTTACACCATGAAGACATACGGGGGAGTGGCACTAGTTAGAGGTCAGTGGTCAGCGTCACGCCCCTGCCGCTTTACCTCCATGAATAAGCCCCCGGTACCCATTGGATAGCTGTGTGGGCCCGAAAGCAGGTCTTGACGACGTGGATAAAATTCTTGACCCTACCGGGACTCGCACTCCGACCCGTCGGTTATCCAGCCCGAAGCCAGTCGCTTTACCGACTGACCCTAGTTTGAGGTGCAAACGTAATTATACAGTATGAGTATTTGAAAACAGCGGTGATCGGAAGAATTTTTCGACGCAAGTGGAATTAATTAAGAGGGAAATACGAAAGAAAGAGAGAGACATAACGTAATGAAGGCGAAATGTTCTAAATTCCATTAAGAACAGGACATTTCTTGAACAGCTGCAAAACTATTGACTGAGAGCCTGCCAATTAGTTAGGCCTGTGATGTCTACACGTAGCACAAATGAGAGACAGAAAATACACAGGGGATTTTGGTTGGGCAATGTGGTATACTGGTATCTTGAACACCGAAAATTAGATCAGAAAATAGTATGAGAATTGTGTGCAAGGATACGAGAAGACAAAACTAAAATTAGATGTGTAGGTGTATAAAACTGGTATTTTCAGCATCATTATGTGTTTGCGACAACTGCACACATAAAAGTGTACTGACAGAAAAGACGAGGCTCCCAAAGAAAGAAGTTTCTCTCTGCACAGAGTCTTTTGAGAACGGGGGGGGGGCACTAGGCCCCGCGCCCTTGTTGAACCCTTACATTGACGTCATGAAATATCCAATGGGCCTAATTTTTCTGCACCGTCTTAGCTGTGAGGGTAACAAAGTAGTACTGGTTCTCAGAATTCTTGTTCCGAAGCCAATTCATGCTATAACCGAAAATTAACGGTCAATATGAGCCGAGATAGGGTAGTGGGTACAGCGACTGGCTACGGGCTGGACGACCGAGGGGTCAGAGTTCGAGTCCCGGTGATGGCAAGAATTCTCACTCCTCCATGTCGTCCAGACCGTCTCTGGAGTCCACTCAACCTATCCGATTAGTACCGGGAGCTCCTTCCCCGAGGATAAAGCGGCAAGGGCGTGAAGCTGACAACTCACCTCCAGCTAGTGCCGAGGTCAAGTAAATGTGGTTCTAAACATCCATTTTCCCATACGCTTTCTTGGCGCATTGCTAATTAGTTAAGCACAGCGACAACTTTAACGGTCAACAAGCAAGTGGGACCTTTCCTCCAGCGAAATAATGCAGTACACTGAAGCGTGGTACTGATCGGTAACCGGCTCTTCTACGTTATGCAGGAAATCGTACGATTGAAATAGGACTGTTCATGACGTGAAGAAACTGGGGAAAAAAAATAATGAAAATGTCTTGCAAACAAAGTGTATGACGGAGAATCTCACAAAATCGACGGTGAGAGTCCTTGTTCAAAGCTTTGGGTACTATGAAAATTCATCTTTGAAAGAACAAATATTGAACTTCAAGCCATTCAGCATGCATCGCCAGAGAAATCGTTCCAGAACAGGAATACGCTGATAATTCCTTACTCATAATCTAGGGAACTAGGAAAAAAGTAAAGCTATCCCTGTAACAGCCCGTGAAGGCCCACAGGGTTGTGAGACGTCGATGACCCCTCATTATCTAGACCAGGGGTTTCCAAACTTTTCGAACCGCGGGCCACATTAGGTAATTCAGCACTTTCAAAGGGCCGGATAAAATGAGAAATTAATAACTCTAGGTTTATGAGTTTTACTGAAAGCACAGAATTTCATAAACTAAATACAAAGTACCTGAGAATAAATTATCGTATATTAATGACAACAGACAGTAGCAGCAAATGCTCATATTTTCATCACAAATTATAATAAAGC